TTTCGTTTTGCTGTAGCTAATGTTGACTTTGTTAGGCCCATTTAATAGACAGATATGACAGATCCTTTCGTTTTGCTGTAGCTAATGTTGACTTTGTTAGGCCCATTTAATAGACAGATATGACAGATCATTTCGTTTTGCTGTAGCTAATGTTGACTTTGTTAGGCCCATTTAATAGACAGATATGACAGAACCTTTCGTTTTGCTGTAGCTAATGTTGACTTTGTTAGGCCCATTTAATAGACAGATATGACAGATCTTTTCGTTTTGCTGTAGCTAATGTTGACTTTGTTAGGCCCATTTAATAGACAGATATGACAGATCCTTTCGTTTTGCTGTAGCTAATGTTGACTTTGTTAGGCCCATTTAATAGACAGATATGACAGATCATTTCGTTTTGCTGTAGCTAATGTTGACTTTGTTAGGCCCATTTAATAGACCGATCAGAACATGTATTATAGTTTCTAGGTTTGCCCATTGAACAAAAATATGTCATTTACTTGGAAGTTGCAAAGGTTGACAAAGGGTTAATTTGAATAAGCTGAACTAGTCATGGACCCGTCCAAAATGACAGAGGGAGAAGATTGTTCGAAATATTCGCATATGATAGGATTTATAAAATTTACTAACAATAATTCATCCCTTAAACGTAGACAAAAAACATGTGTTAAAATGTGACAAACTTTACAACATATAAATCATATGTTGGCATTCATGAAAGATAGCATATTGTTTCATATTTACTTCATTTTCCCCTTAAAAAATACATGTTATTGTTTTTTCGTGTAAACTTGTGGATTTGCCCCAACTATGTCACCTACTTTATTGTGCTACTTAGGGACGGCTAAAGTTCTATCTCTCCTTGATCTTCCACTTGAAAACTAGGACAAAAAATAATTTGAGGTTGGAGGGTGGGGCTGAACATTTGAAAGAATGTATTGTCATCGACAACGAGTCCATGTGCCACGTTTCAGCTCGATAGTATGACGTGAAGTGGTTCAATTACCCTTCGGAAAATTTTGCCACAAAGAAAGAAACACAATAAACCAAAGTAAAGTGAATATAAAGCATTCAAAAGGAATAGAGTTGTCAGTTACCAACTTCATTTGACAGACAAGTATGTGTGGTTACCGGGTTACGCCTAGAATTGATCTGTAATTGTAAGCTACATCGGTGGTGTAGCGACACGTGACTTCAATGAATGCCAACAAGCATTGAACCTTTCTCCTTGGTGTTTGAATAACAAAGGTCATGATCATGATTTAACATGACCCATCATGTCTGCGCTTTAACTCTTGGACAATATGTCTAGAGAATGGCCCTGTCTAATACGTCATTTGACAGATATCTCGTCTCTCTCATACGTGACAGGTAGTCCTGTCACAAACAATAATTTGTATTTGTCACTCACAATTTTTTCACCAATCTCCGAGGTCAGTTTCCTGCGAGGGAGCTCTTGTGTCAGAGTTATCTTGCGCACCGATTGGGCACCAGGCGAAAGTTCTAGCGCGCATCCAACCTGTCCGGTCAGTAGCACAGCTAGCCAATCGTTTTGTGTGACTCACAAAACCATGACAGTCGATTTAAGTCCAAACAAACACAATGTAAGCCCCCCCCCTCCCCCCCAAAGGCCCCCGCACCAAGTCCATTTAAAGAATGATGTCCAATTTAGAACAAAAATATGTTTCCTGATGGACATTACAATCTCGGAATTTTTGTATTATTATTTAAGCCAAAGAATGTAATGTACGCCAAAGAATGCAATGTAAGCTATAGAATGCAATGTAAGCTATAGAATGTAATGTATGCTAACGAGCGTAATATAGAATGTATTGTAAGCCAAAGTGTGTAATGTAAGCCAAACAATGTAATGTAAGTTTAAGAATGTAATAAGATTATACAAATTGGCATACTATGACACTAGATGCCAAACTGATATATGACACATATTGGCATACCATGACACTAGATGCCAAAATGATCTAGCTGTCTAACTAATTAAAAGTACATTGTATCGCTTGAGCTACACGGTCTTGGCATTCGATGTGATTCATTATTTCGTGGGTCTCTTTTTGGGATTTTAAAGTGTCTGTTTATTTCTGTATACCATGTGTTTGATGGTGACTTAGTCTCATTGCTACCTTCTCATGATGGCTTAGTCTCATTGCTACCTTCTCATGATGGCTTAGTCTTATTGCTACCTTCTCATAATGACTGACGTGATCGCATTGATACCTTTTCATGATGACTCAGTCTCATTGCTACCTTCACATGAAGACTGACTTAATCTCATTGCTCCCTTCTCATGATAACTCAGTCGCATTGCTACCTTCTCATGATAACTCAGTCGCATTGCTACCTTCTCATGATAACTCAGTCGCATTGCTACCTTCTCATGATAACTCAGTCGCATTGCTACCTTCTCATGATAACTCAGTCGCATTGCTACCTTCTCATGATAACTCAGTCGCATTGCTACCTTCTCATGAAGACAGACTTACGTCTCATTACTACATTCTTTTGCTTGTGTGTGTGTCTGACTAGTGGCGTAGCTA